AAAACTAGGGAAACAATAAGGAACCCTTAACTGGCTATAAAAAAAGACTAGCACATTGGTGGAGCCAGGACCCAGCCTGCCATGAGCTCCGTCCGGGGCAGCCTCCTAGGCACCTGTGCTCAAAGACCCAAAGGACCCCCAGAGTCCTCCCACCTACCATGGACACACACTGGCTCCGGGCCTTCACTCCCGCTCCCTGCCTGAGACCTCAAACAAGTTACTTGACCTGTAAAGGTCCGTGTTCTCAGGGCACCAGCAGAAGACCCGCCCTGTGGGGTTGTCCCGAAGATGCCGACAGCATCCCGCAGGCCTGTGTCAGAGCCTGCAGTGCTGCGCGGGTGTCAGCCCAGGAGCTGCTCCCTTCTGTCGCCCAGTCCCACGGTTTCCGCAGTTTCCGGCACAGCTGGCCCTGTCACCCAGGAAGACCTTCTTCGGCTCCCCTCGAGGAAGTCATCAAACGTGGGCACGTAGGCAAAAATAAACACCGTGACAACATTTTTAATAAGACAAACAAACAAAAAGCTTAGAAAACTCTGAAGGGGAAAATAAAAACCGAGAAACACTCTCAATATCCATCAATACTAAACAAAGTACGCTATGTGCATGCCATGGAATACCACACAGCTTCTGTAAGCCACTGATGTAGCTGTGCTAACCAGAAAATACCTTCGAGATGTCACCCAGTGAAAAAAGAAATGAAGAAAGACGACGTTCTGGTTATTTGATTAAAATAAGAACTAAACCTACAAATCAGGATGTGTTTCCACAGGGTACAGGAAAGGGCGTCAAAGAGGACTTTCATCTCATTCTGGTTTCTCCACCCTTTCTCACGATTGCCCTCTCCAACGGGCCTCTGTTTCCTAATCACTTCCCACCACCGTGAAATTTTACCACCACAGACCCGCTGCGGATCGGTCTGCGCGCCGTGACCTTGGCACGGAAAGACCTAGGTTCTTTTTCCCATCCAAGACCCAATTCCTCCTCCCCCTGCCGATGGATGTGTAGTCTAATTCAAACTTTACTTGTGTGATTAAAAATTAATCCTTTCAAACATTCTTTCCTCAATCTCCTTCCCCAATCTGAGTGTGGGACTGCCCTCGGGGCCCGGGTGGGGTTAAGGGAACTGCAATCGGACGTCAGCCATGCTCACAGGTTTATGTCTGTACCAAACAGACGGGGACAAGACGAGAAAACGCGCGTCGGAGCTGTCTGTGCCTGCTGACCCTTAGTGTTGCCTAACCCTTGAGAACTCCCAATAGGGTCAATGTCCCAATGACTCTGGAGACCTCAGAGCCCATGGGGACTGTTCTGGTCTCCTGGTTTTCTTCCCATCCCCTGGCTGAACCTCGTCCTTTGCCAGTTGGCTTCTCCCTCATCCCCTTCAGAGTGCCTGCAGACCCCATCCCGGGACTTCTCTTCTCTGTCCACACCATTTCCTAGGTGACCTCATCCAGTGTGGCAGCTTGAAGACCACCTCTACCAGAATGACTTCAAAAGTATAACTGCAGCCCAGACATCTCCCCTGAACTCAACGATCATCCCTCCAAATGCCTGCGTAATGTCATTACTTGAACACATGTAAGAATGTCAAATTTAACATGTCCAAAACAAACCCTTCACATTTTCCTCAAACTCACATCTTCTAATCCTCGTGTTCTCATTGGATACCTGCTCCTTCTTTCCAGTTGCTTAAACCAAAAACCTTGGCACCATCTTCAAGTTCTCTCTCAAACCTTATATATCCAATCCATCACAAAATCCCATTAGATTTATCTTCAAAAAACATCCAAAACCCAACTGTTTCAACCATGTCAACGTCCATTATCTTGGACAAAGCCACTATCATCTGTGACTTGTATTACTGCAAAAATCTCTTTCCTCATCTCCCTCCTTCATCTTTGCTCCCTACTCCTCCTGTACCCTCCACACCATTCTTCTAGGTATTTTTAAACATTTAAAAAAAAAAGTTTACTTTTTATTTTTTATTGATTTTAGAGAAAGAGGAAGGGTGAGGGGGAGAGAGACAGAAACATCAATGGCAGAGAACATCGATGGGCTGCCTCCTGCATGTCCCCCACTGGGGATCGGGCCCACAGCCTGGGCATGTGCCCTGACCCGGAATGGAAGGGGCGACCTCTTGATGCACGGGTCGACACTCAACCACTGAGCCACACCGGCCAGGCTCCACATCCATTCTTAACAGAGCAACAGAATGATCTTTGTCAATGTTAAGCCAGGTCACATCAATCATCTGTTCAATGGTCCTCCAATGGCTCTGCCTGGCACTCAGGGTCAGGTCCTCATGCCCTGGGTCCCTCCCATCCCTCACTCCAGGCACCTTTCTGCCCCCATCTCCAGCACTCTCCACCCAACACACACTCTGCCCCAGCTACACTGACCTTTTTGCTGGCCCTGAACTTCAGGTATGCTTCCTCCGGCCCCAGGGCCTTTGCAATTGCTCTTCTCTCTGCCCTCCGGCTGGAATGCTCTTTTACCAGAATCCACACACTTGTTCAGTCACAGCTCCCGGGGCTCTGCTCACACGTCTTCTCCTAATAAGACCTTCCCTGCCCATCCCATTTAAAACGGCAATTTTGCCCTGGCCGGTCTGGCTCAGCGGTTAGAGCATCGGCCGGTGGACCAGAGAGTCCCAAGTTCGGATCCTGCTAAGGGCATGTACCTCAGTTGCAGTTTGTCCCCGACCCTGGTTGGGGTTGTGTGGGTGGCAACCAGTTGACGTGTCTCTCTCACATCAACGTTTCTTTCTCTCTCTTCCTCCCTCCCACTCTATCTAAAAATAAATGCAAATAAATAAATAAATAAAATGGCAAAGCTTCTAAATCACTGCAGTTTACTTAGTTTTATTTACTGTCTGCCCCCCCCCCCCACTAGAACTTAAACTCTATGAGGGCAGGATGTCTGTTTACTGTTTACTACTATGCCTCTAGCTTTGAGGGTGGTAGCTTGCACCCCACAAGGCATCTTTGAATGAGTGAACTTCCTATGTGCAATGTGCCACAAGGTTCCCATGCAAGGGAAGTGCCCTTTTTACCTTAAATCCTATTCCAGCTGCTGTCGCCTTGGAGGTCACTAAGCTTAAAAACACCACACCCCCCATCACATCCACACAATGCCACATCGGTCCCGGAGCAACTCAAAGGCGAGCGGGCATTTTCTGTGGCTGGGTTAGCAAGCAGCACTGGTATCAGATCCCTTCTAAGCTCAGTGATTTGCCAAAGGGCCCGCCAAGGGCAAGAGCCCCCCACTCCTGACTGCCAGACCCTCTTTTTCTCAGCTTCACCTGGGCCTTGAAGAACCTAGGATCCGTCAAGCCCTAAGTCCCATTCATGAAAGCTCTAAGAATTCCTTCACCCCTTCATCAGAATCTTCTCCTCTTCGGATTTGGAAGAGACCCAGAGGTGTAAAAACGGAACATCTTGACCGAATTTCCTCCCGGCAAGCTTTCCTCGGGCTCACTCACTCCGACACACGGGTCCCTCCCGCCAGACCCAGCCGGAGCCAGACTTTTCGGTGACTCGGTCCAACGCAGAGCTCCGGCAGTAAACCTGGAACCTGAGTCCAAGCCGCACTGTTGTTCGGAGCTGGCCCCACGCCTGTCTGAGACGGGCCGGGAAGCCAGGACAAGCGGAATCGGGAAACTGAGACAGTTAGACAGCAGTTTGCAGCCATCTAGTAAATCCCATCTCCCCAAACCAGGGACACTTAAGAGTAAATGATTTCCACTTCTCCCCAACCAGAGGCCAAATAGCTTCAATCACCCTACTCAGGGAGACAGACAGCAGAAATCCAATTAGTGTCATTTGCCAACCGTACCCAAGGACAGATGAAGTTAAGAGAATAAATCTCATTTTGGCACATCAGCATAAAGCTGATGAATATTCTATTGAAATCCTCCCTTAAGACCTCCCCTAAACGCCCAGCCTTTAAAACCCCTCAAAACACAGGTCCCAGAGCAGGCCCCCCTTCTTCCCCACAGCCTTGCATCTTCTCAACTCCAGGGGACCCCAGACGCTTGCCACCAGGGCAGCAATGGGCAGCAGCAGTTCCTCCCAGACGACCCCCTGAACCTGTCCCCAGGACCCCCTCTCCTCTGGCCTCTTGGTGAACCAAAGCAGCCGGCCTCGCCCGGCTCATTTCCCCGGCCCTCTCTGGCGTCACCATCCCCATCTTTAACACCTGCCCTCCAAAATCCATCTGGACTCGTGTTGTGAAGCTTTTCCTGCACAAAATCGAGAACCCACACCCCACCAGCCAGGCCCTAGGCAGACCCGCCCAGGGCCAGGCCCCCTTTCCGGTAACATCACCCAGAATGACAACAGTTCCTTAAAGCAGACCCTCTGGTAGCAAATGAGGAACATACCCAGTCAGCAGGGAATCAGCTTTCCTAGAAGCTTCTCTGAACTGTGTTGAGAAAAAGGCATCCATCGTGATTAAGTAACAGGCAACCACCTGCAACTTCCTCGGGACTTGAAAATTCTGTGACGTTAAGAAAAAATATCTCCAAAATGAACCTTGTCCAACTGCACAGGATTCATTTGCCACCTCCTAAATCAGTGCTGCCCAGGGCTCCTTCCGCTGCAAAGTCCCTGCGAGGGAGGGGGAAGCCGCGGGGGGCACTGGTTCCAAGCAGGGAGCCCAGACGCACCTCTGGCTGGCTGTGTGTCCTCAGCAAGTTTCTTAACCTCTCTGAGCCTTAAGTTTCTTTATTTGAGAAGTGAAATCTACCTCGCCAGGCTGTTGAGAAGATAAATGAGAAATCCTACGTGAAAGCCCTCTGTAACCATTACAGGACTAAACAAACGAAGTCATCACACGTGTTCAACACCATTTATGCTCAGAACTCTCTGAGGGGCACCATGAGCAAGCACAGTAGGGAGAGAGAAGACAGCCATCACGCTTGCCTTCCAGAAGCTTGAACTTCAGCTGGGAAAACACACACAGAACTCCTTACAAAGCAACATACCAAGAAAAGCACACACCTCCATCTGCTGCTTCCCCCAGTGTCCCTTGGGTTTGCTTGTTTGGACTCTACTATCTCCCTAAGCATCCATCAATCTGGCCAACTCCGGGACTTCAAAAGGCTCAAAGCTGTCAGCGAGCTGGTCTTCAAAGCCAAGCCAGATGGAAGGGCAGGGCCATTGCTGTCCACGTTCTTCACTCGGGTCCAGCCACGGCTGACTTCACCCCTCACCCAGCCAATGCTGCTCACAGTCGTCCTCTTCCGTGTGCCCTGCCCCTCCCAAGGAGGCCCCATGACACCCCATTAGCTTACTCACTTCCAGTGAGGCACTGTACAGAATACTAGCTACCAGTCCCCAGGCCAGCTGAAGAAAGAGGAAAGAAGGCAGGAAAACAGAATTCAAATGCAGCCATTAGCCAAAGGAGAAAAGAGGAAGTAGAGAGAAAGAAAAAAAAAAAAAAGCTAGAAAGTCAAAGGAAAATGAGGAACATAAATAACTATCACTTGACATCCAACTTCCAGCTTATAAAGGGCTTAAACTCACATTTTATGAGCTGTGCCAACATTCTGCAGGGCCGAGTAAGGCAGGCAGAGAATTGGATACCCATTTCGAAAATGAGAAAACTGAGGCCTGACAAGACCTCACACGTGGAGCAGGAGCTAGGACTGTGAACTTGCCTCCTGGTTTTGTAACTGGTGCTTTTCCCACCGCTGGTAGCCGTGCAGGCCCGGCTCGGACTAAAGAGCGCTTGGAGGCGGAACTGAGACCGCCGGAGGAGTGGAGGGTACTGCTCCCAACGGGCAAAGTGTGGACACCGCTCGACCGCCAACCAACCGGGGACTGGGTGAGCAAAGGCGCTGTGTTCATCCCAGGAAAAGTATCCAGCCGTAAAGAGCAATGACGCCCGACGAAGGCCATGGCGTGGATGCACCGCGAGGACAGCACGCTGAGTGAAATGGACCAGAACCAAAGGTCCCACGGTGTTGACTCCATTTACATGAAATGCTGAGAAGAGGCAAATCCGCAGACACAGAGAACAGCTTAGTGGTTGGCAGGGGCCTGCGGGAGGGAGGGCGGTGGGCAGTGACTAGTTAAGAGAGATGGGGTTTCTCTTTGGGGTGATGAAGAAGTTCCGGGACTGGATAGCATGATGGTTGCACAACGCTGTAACGGTACCAAACATCACTGAATTCTACAGTTTTTAAATGGTTAAAATTGTAAATTTTATGTTATGTGAGTTTTACCACGTTTTTTAAAGTGGGGTTGGGGAGTCCATCCGGTGTGGCTCAGTGTTTGAGCATCGACCCACGCACCAAGAGGTCACCGGTTCGATTCCTGGTCAGGGCACGTGCCCAGGTTGTGGGCCTGATCCCCAGTGGGGGGCATGCAGGAGGCAGCCAATCGATGTTCTCTTTCATCCATGTTTCTATCTCTCTCTCCCTCACTTCCTCTCTCTTTAAAATCAATAAAGGAAAAAAAAAATTAAAACAATAAATAAATAAAATGAAGTGGGGGTGGGGGAGACGGGGAGGAAAATGAAGAGAAAGTGGGCGCAGGGTAGGAGGAATGGAAGTAGTAACACTCATACATTTCCCCAAATCAGACCAGGGGGTCTGCTGCTCCTCTTACACTGAGGACGTAGCAGGAGGCCTTACCCGGTGGGCTTCGGACGAAGATCCCCTGCAGCCGGACAGGAGGACAGACGGAGCAGAGGGGACAGGGCCTCTCAGACACGAGGCTGGCCTCCCTGCGGGAACACCAGCTGACCCCGCTGGGGAACACTCAGCGTTTACTCATCTGTCCTGTGTAGGGACAGAACGTTCATTCACCAGATAGGAACCCAACTCTGGGCCCGCCGCTCACCGGTGTGAGGGACACAGAAGTGATCAAATCCCTGGCCCGAGTTACCCTAACTTAGCCTGACCCTCCGGAGGGCAACAGCATTCAGAGTCACAGGCTGGCATGACCTAGTTTAATATAACCCGGGGCACAACCCACCCAGCGTAAACAAAACCAATACATGGACCTTCCTCTCTGGTTCTAGCACATTCTAATCACGTTTGGCGGCTGGTGGCGATTAGAGAGCTGTCCGGGGCAGTCTCTGGAAACAAGCGTAAGTGACCTCGCAGAGTGAGCTCTAAGCAGAGACCTGAAGAAGGAACACCAGCTATTTCAGTGAAAAGTTCTAGATTTTGACCCAGAGTAAAGAACTTGACTTCAGGCCCCTCTTTCCGATGTAATTCATCCAAAAGACATGTTCCCGGGCCCACAGGGTTCTTCACCCGCGCTCAGTGGGGACCCTCAGGAACACGCCGGACACAGCTCCGCCCTCGGGGCTCCCCTGCTAAGGAAGGCCACACAATGTGGAGCACACTGCATGGTCGCAGGGACACGTGTTCTGCAGAGTGCCCCTGTGTTTTTCAAGGCTTCAATCCCAGACGGATCTACGTACTTAAGTCTGCTACCCAAATCCAGGTAAGGGCTGGATGAGTCTGCTCACAGGCTGGGGCTCAAACACAGAGATCTGCGTTCACACAGGTCTGGAGACTGGAGGTCCGAGACCAGGGGGTCGGCAGGGCTGGTGTCTTCCAAGGCCTCCCCCCGTGGACTGCAGACGGCTGCCTTTCTCCCTGTTTCTCTGCCGTCTGCCCTCTGCGTGTGTCTTACTCTCCTCATCTTAGGAGGAGATCCATATAACCTCATTTTCACTTAACTACCTTTTTCAAGACCATATGTCCAAACATAGTCACATTCTGAGGTCCTGAGGGTTAGGGCTTCAACAGAGGAATTGTGGAGGGGGACAGAACTCGGCCCATCCCAGGTCCCCGTGCCCCATCACCCTGCCTGCCTCCTAGGGCCCCTCGCTGCACAGGGCACATCACCCTGGCCACCCGCCTCGCTCCCCATGGACACTGAGCCCTCGGACACGGGGACTCGGGAGTCGTGTCCAGTCGGTCTCCTCGGCTGCACCCCCAGGGCCTAGAACACACCAGGGGCCTCGGAAGGGATCAACTGAAGGCCGCGGGGAAGGACAAGGAGTAGCTCTGTGGCGATGAGGCTGGCTGAGCTCTTACTCCAACAGTTAAAACTTGTCTGGGCCAAGAATTTCAACAGCTTCGTAATCACCCAAGTGGGGAGGAGAAGAGGCCTCAGAAGCAAGTTCAAAGGGTCCAGTAGGGAAAGGACACCACAGCAGAGGACTGAGCGGCCGGACAGGCTGCCAGGGACAGGGGGACAGCTAGGACCCCTGTACAGCCTCTCCCACAGGCCTGGCACGTGCAGCCGCTCGTCCCTGGATTTGAAAGCAGGCACTGGCACCCTGAAAATCCTCCCAGCCAACCCGCAAGGCCAAAGAACGGCTGGCACGTTCCTTCTGGACAGATGAAGGAACTGAAGGTCAAAGATGTTCAAACGAATTTGAACGAGGTCAAAGAACCAAGAGATGTGCGGGGCAGGAGGTCCTGCTGTTAGAACCCAGGGCCCCGAGCGCTGCCCACCAAGTCTGCAGCTACCCCCGCTGCCCGCAGCAGCCCCACTGGCAAGCAGGACGGGGAGGGAGGACCAGGCCTCGTGACACCTGCTCATATCTGACCTTGAGTGTCTTGTCCTGTGGCCCAAAGGGCCTGGTTCTCAGACCCAGTGGTCTTACTCTGATGTTCGGCTCTGAGCTGACCTGGTGACACCTCTTCAAAGCTTGGTCTCCCACATTTCACCTCACGACAAGGCCGTCACACCTTTTCGGAGCAAGGCTGGGTAAGCCAGGGTCAAAATCCGAGCAAGATGTGCCTGATTCTCCTCCCTCTTCCTCCTCTTTCATTCAACCCCTTAACCGGTAGCCATCAGATACATATTGCGCCAGACCTCACCAATGCCAAGCCCTGTGCCAGGCCAGGGCAATTACGGAGACTAGGAAGCAGGTTCCCTGCCTGGAGGAGCTCAGAGCACAGTCACATAAGTCACTGGGCCACTGTGCTGTGTGCATTGCAGTGGGGGGTCCTATGGAAGCCAGAGGCAGAACAGGGAGAGAGCAAAGGCCACACGTGGCCTGGGTCTGGATGAGGGTTCTTCCCAGACACACGAGGAGGAAGGGGCTTCGAGGTGGCAACGTGTGTGCTAGGAGAGGGTGGCGAGGCAGCTGGGAGGGCAGCCCGGCAGCCCCAACGGGGAGCGCCTTGACGCTCAGGCAATGGGGAGCCAGTCAAGGTGACTCCATGGGACCCAGACTTTCGGAGGCCACTACGAATGGCCATGTGAGGTTAGGGTGAGAGAGGGGACACCAGCCCTAAGCCTGGGGTTCCTGGCTCAGGGGAAATACAAGAAACATTTACACGAATCAGTTCATAGAAAACGTGTCCATTCCCAGGGGATGCCTGGCATCTTCCAACCACTTCCCTCCGGCTCGTGTGAGCGGTGCAGCCCCCCAAGAACAACGGTTGCTCTTCCTTCCCCCATGAACCATGAGGACGCCCAGCATAGGCGACCCTGTAGCGATCAGTCACACCAGCTGCGTGTCTGCGTGGAGACCCTTCCAGCTCGCCTGCCTCTCACATCCATCCTCATTTGCAAGAGACCTGCAGCTCCGACGGAATATATATAGTCCTGCTGATCTGCAGTGAAGCGTAATTCACACCTTCTACTGCTTCTTGGAGAACTTCTTTCCCCAAGACTAATAATAAAGCAGACCAGCCACCCAGAGGAACAAAGCACCCCAACCACTGCCTGGCAAGTGAATGGGAAACAAGCCAGAATGGCACCCCCGTTGGCACCCCCGGAGCAATGCCAATGGGCGGAGAGGAGTGTGAGCCTCTAGCGTCCCTCGGGGCCCCAAAGCCCCCAGCAGGACTCCCCTGGAGTCACTCTGAAAAGGAGTGGGATGATCGAGGGCCACCCGCAGTCCGCTGGAGCAGTGTCCACATGGACTAGAACCAGCCCAGGGGACAGCAGGTCTGGGAGCAGCTCAGACTCCCGTCTCCCTTTCATGCTCCGACACAGCCGTCTTCCTGGGCCGGGGCCCAGTCGGGAGCAAAGGGCTCAGGCCAGAGCTGGCTCTGCTGTTGCCCTGGCGTGCCTGGTAGTGCCTTTGCCAACCTCATCCCCCCCACCGGCTGGGCTCCCCACCTGCCCAGTATGCTGGGAGGACTGAGCAGAGGAGAAAGAGGCCTGGCTACATTTTCATTCTGGCGAGTTCCTCCTGGACACAGGAAGGCCATCTGAAATTCTGAAATGTGTCAGGATCTCTGTGGCCACACCCACCACGGGGCTCCTTCACACACACAGATCAGGCCTCCAAAGCCTCCTCCCCCTGTGAACACCCA